AAAGAGTACAGACAGACTTAAGCTCGTGTTAGGACAGACAGACTGACTAACGGACGAGTGAAAACAGACTTCAGATCGCGTTAGGACAGACAGACGTTGGGCTGAGTAAGTACAGACATTCTTTCGAGCGAGTGTAAACAAACCAGACCCACTCGTAACCAACTGACAAACACAAACTGCATTGTAGATTAGAAGATGTGCCCAGGCCTTCGGGTGACGTTCATTCATACAATGACATTAACTACAGGTAACGTCGAGAAAACGCATTCGTGCAAATCCACGGGGACAGTCACTCAACACGTGCTATCTACCTATTTATGCAATACCGGTTGTGTTGAAACCTTACATGTGATCAGGGTTTCAAGCAATTTCTCCTCTTCGAATTAACATGAAAATATTTGTTTTGTAAACGCCCCCGACTTAACAAGTAAACTGTGGCAAAATACAAGCAATTCAAAAACCCAAATCTCTTTAAGAAAGAAACCAAACCGCACTTGTACATCTTAACAGTGTATAACCATGCCTCTTTCTAGACACATCGAAGGCAAATATTTACACATCATATTGTTGTTAGTTGTGTTCCGACGATGTAGTGAACATGTAAATATCATATATAAATTACCAGAGTATCTGGATAAAAGATGACTACAAAAATTACAAACATAAAACGTAGTTCATATCCTACGTAATCCCATAACACGGACTAGTGGGCATGTCTCTTTGTTAAAGAACATATTTTATCATGTGTAAACCCAGCGAGTATTACCCTAAGTTAAACAATCTTACTTGCCTACCTGTTTTTATTGTACCAGAAGAAAGGCAAGATGTGCAGGTTTGGATGGATGGTAAAGAACATGTAACCTCTCGAGAGACACTTGGTTTCACACAATCTATTGCTCACTATCGCGACACAAAGGCAGAGACGACGGGGCAATACTTCAATTGTGAGGGTTTACATTATGTCAGTCTCATTTGATAAGTCATACACACCGGCTACGCCCATCAGCTCGCTCATCTGTCAGTTCAAGGACTCAGTGACGTAATACTCGAGAGAATACATAATTGGTTTACTTATTGGATTGTGTCTGTGATGTAACAGGCGTTGCCTATAGTTACATAAGAGAAGCGATGCAGCTGAATGATCTGACATAATTAGTAAACGTTCTCAAGTCTTACAGCCAGTAATGTACACATCTGATGTCCTATAAGTCATTGCCTTCTCGTTGTTATTCCCTTGAACACCCTTTCTTGTAATATAGTTCATTGCCTTCTCACGGTTATTCCCTTGAACACCCTTTCTTGTAATATAGTTCATTGCCTTCCCGTTGTTATTCCCTTGAACACCCTTTCTTGTCATATAGTTCATTACCTTCCCGTTGTTATTCCTTAGAACACCCTTTCCTGTCACATAGTTCATTGCCTTCCCCTGTTATTCCCTTTAGCACCCTTTCTTGTCATATAGTTCATTACCTTCCCGTTGTTATTCCTTAGAACACCCTTTCTTGTCATATAGTTCATTGCCTTCTCATGGTTATTCCCTTGAACACCCTTTTTTGTCATATAGTTCATTGCCTTCCCGTTGTTATTCCCTTCAACACCCTTTTTTGTCATATAGTTCATTGCTTTCCCGTTGTTATTCCCTTGAACACCCTTTCTTGTAATATAGTTCATTGCCTTCCCGTTGTTATTCCCTTGAACACCCCTTTTTGTCATATAGTTCATTGCCTTCTCGTTGTTATTCCCTTGAACACCATTTCTTGTCACATAGTTCATTGCCTTCCCGTTGTTATTCCCTTGAAAACACTTTTTTGTCATATAGTTCATTGCCTTCCCGTTGTTATTCTCTTGAACACATTTTCTTCTTTCCCATCATTTACTTTCTGTCACATTCATATTTTTTTCACGAACACCATAATCATAAATATACTCTCCCAAAAAAGAAACGCATCATGAAAATAGCAATTTCATGTAGCAATGAATTAAAACGTGATTCATTTTACAAAAGGTTTTGCTCTGTTTATGAGTCCTATGGTGTTTATGTTTTGAAACATCACAACAAAACACACCATCCGTAAAATACCCGTATTTAACAGCATGATTTTTTTTTAATTTCGGCGTGTAGTGTCACAGAATACACAATTCACATGCAATGCACGTGAAAGTTGGGGATCAGAAAGTCTCATGATGGGTATAAAAGGTTGATTGCTGTCTGTCGATTATTCAATGTATTTGGAATATTGTTGACGAACGCGAAATGCCACGTCTTAGTGAAGCCAACCGTCATATCGCCATTGGTTTGCTTGAAGCTGGCCAGACTCAACGTGCAGTTGCCCCACGCATAAATGTTCACCAAAGCACCATTTCACGGCTCTGGGAGATATATCGCCGGCAGAATTCGGTAGCAGATGCCCCTCGTAGTGGGCGACCTCGAGCGACCACTGCGGCGCAGGATCGCTACATCCGGGTACATCACCTGCGTCATCGAACAGCTACGGCGACCAGTACCGCTCGACAAATACCCGGATTGAGGAGGCTGTCTGCACAGACCGTCAGGAACAGGTTGAGAGAGGCTGGTTTACGTGCCAGAAGACCTTATTTTGGCCCTGTGCTTCAACAACAACATCGTCGACATCGAGTTCAATGGTGCACCAACGTTCAGGCCTGGAACCTACCCAATTGGCGTAGAATCTGGTTCAGTGATGAATCACAATTTCTATTGGAACGACGCGATGGAAGAATGCGGGTGTACTGACGTCGACGTGAACGTTTCGCCGACGCTTGCGTTCCCCAGGTGGACAGATTCGGCCGGGGCAGTGTTATGCTGTGGGGGGTGATCACCTGCCGTAGGAGAAGTGATTTGGTGATGATCCAGGGCAACCTGACAGCTCAACGGTACTGTGACGAAATCCTACGCCCACACCTCCTTCCAATCATTGATCGCCAGAGGGAGTTGTTTCAACAGGACAATGCCAGGCCCCACACAGCACGTCACACTAGAGACTTCCTCCAGAACCACAACATCAATGTGCTCCCCTGGCCCTCAAGATCACCGGACTTAAACCCGATCGAACATCTGTGGGATGCCCTGGACAGACGGGTGCGACGCTGTAACCCTCAGCCCCAGACACTTCAGCAACTCGCACAGGCACTACAGGCAGAGTGGGTTGCCGTTGGGCAACACGAGATTCTGAGACTTATTCGTTCGATGCCGAGGCGATGCCGTGCAGTTCTGGATGCCCACGGTGGTCACACGAGGTATTGACTTCAGCGCCACCACACGTCTCCATGTGACACTCAAACTGACTTTCCTCGAGTTGGTGCCAAAGACGGATAAGTCTGCATTCCCAGTGTGCAATTTCGCTATATTTCATTGACTCATAAAGCCTACAAGATGTTTCAAAATAAACATAAAAATACAGTTGAAATTCCTATATGCGTTTCTTTTTTGGGAGAGTATACATTTCCCTTTTGTCCTGTCTTGCATTACTGTTGTCACACATCTATCTTATCCATTTCAATAATTAAACCTCTATCACCTCATAAAACAATCAGGTTCTCCTCCCCATGGGTACAATGTGTGAAGCCCATTTCTGGTGTCCCCCGCCGTGATATTGCTGGAATATTGCTAAAAGCGGCGTAAAACCCAACTCGCTCACATACTCCCTCTTTTCTACATAAATCCTGCCTCTCAGACAGATACTGTCCGACCTTCCAACGTGCAAAAATCTACAAACGTTTCACTTTCCTCAGAAACACATTTTCATTCCCTTACACTACTCCCTCACACAAACGTTTCACTTTCCTCAGAAACACACATTACGTTTTACTTTCCTAAGAGATATACTTTTCCATTTCCTTACACACATCATCTCCTCGCTCACACACACCTTTCACTTATCTCAGAGACACACATTTTCATTCCCTCACACACATTATCTCCTCCCTCACACAAACGTTTTACTTGCCGAGATATACATTTCCATTTCCTTACACACATCAGCTCCTCTCTCACACACACCTTTCACTTATCTCAGAGACACACATTTTCATTCCCTCACACACATTATGTCATCTCTCCCAGGCGTGTCACTTGCCTCAGAGACACACATTAACATTCACTTACACACATTATTTCCTTTTACGCGGACAAAGCCTCCAGATTCGTTTACTCAAACATAATATATTTCTTCTCCACACGGACGATTTTCGTCCCTTGAAGACACAGTCGCCCTCACTCACACGTACGATATAGTCTCACCGACGTCACGGCAGTACACACTGTTGCTGTCAGTTACACTTGTTCACACTGTAATATACACCATCTCTCTCTCTCTCTCTCTCTCTCTCTCTCTCTCTCTCTCTCTCTCTCTCTCTCTCTCTCTCTCTCTCTCTCTCTCTCTCTCTCTCTCTCTCTCTCTCTCTCTCTCTCTCTCTCTCTCTCTCTCTCTCTCAACCACAGGCTATAATAACACTCCTAGCTCCTTTATTGTATTTTCTAGCATTATATCCCACGGTGTGTAAGCAAATAACGGCAGCGGTTACAACACATTACAACTGTGTGGCTTCCTGTATTATTTACGGAACGTGAGGATTTCTCGGCCTGTAATGGAGATGAGAGGGACTATTGATTATTAATAAAATAGCATGACAGACTAATTAACTCATGGTCAATTATCAAGCCAGAGTAATTATCTTTCTCTCGTGATTCGTGAATCTCCATGACAGGAATCGAAAGCTAAACATTCTTCCGTCGGTCTGTTAAGAGACTCCAGCTAAACCACTGCAGAAATCCGTCAAATCCAATAAAAACTGTGAGTTTAAACAACAGTCGGAAACAAAGCCTGGCTGATTAGTTCATTCACTCCGAATTGTGAAATCGACAATCGCTAATCGCCTCAACGTGTGTCATCGCCTAGCCCCGCCCCCTTCTGTCTGGTTGGTCAGCTTTAATTGATATTGACAGGTCGACTGGGTTTCGTACGTATGCGTGCTCGAACCGAGTGATTACACTCACGTCTTGAAAGCCTGTGAGTGTAGCTGCCTGGGATGTCTTGGATATGCTATATAAAGCAGAGCACGAGTTAGGGTAACGCGAACCAATGAAACATACCCACTCTCCAAGCAGTGCTACTGGAACTTTTTACTTACTCATTTCATCGGGAGGTTTCCACGGGATTTGTGTGTAACTTAGTATCATTTTCACAATGGGGCATATACCACACTGGCTTTTGATTTTACAAACAGTGATATGTGTATGTTTTGATATTGACTTGAGTGCGAGGTCCTCTTCCTTCGCGCAGGCGACATCTGTGATACCCCACAGGACTTCCAATGATTTATACATGGATCCCTGTAAAGCAGGTGAGTGACAGCATGTACATAGCATGTATATATCAAAGTGTTTGTAGTGGCTCGAGAGAAGGCATCCTCCGGCTCTCGAGTCGTATACTGGATGAAGCGACAGGTGCGTGTCAATTATACCGATATAATTATAATGATATTTCATCGTGTGTATTTTTGCACTGAAATCGACAAATATATAACATGTGCTGAAATCATGCATGTGAAGTTATATGAATAGATTCACCTGTACATTTCAGTGAAATGTAAACGGTGTGATATCGACAAGCTTGAATTTTTTAACTTAACTACTTCCCAGTAATCGTATTGCAGACTGCTTGCTATTTTAACGTGCACAGAGCGATTGTATTATGAACCGGGATGTCTGCAGTTTGATGGTTTCATTCATTGCTTGTGATAGTGAATGGGTAGCGAAGCTTATTATGCCGGGAGTGTAATGTGTGTTGATTCTTACCGAGTGACAATAGATGTGCAAGTTGGGTGCTGAGTTAGCGACACACGTGGGCAATCAACACGACGTTGTTGACACTGACTTCGCTGTAGGTCTCCATGTGACATATCACTAATCAATATCATGTATTCATGAAATGAGCACCGTCGGCAGGGAAACTGGCAGGTATACCAGTTGACTTTTCGTGACAGACACGACTGAGGGGGGAGGGCGAGTCGAGTCTGAATCAGCTGAAACAGTTCTGTATATAGTGTACATTTGGGGCTGTGGGTGACTCAGACGGGGTGCGAGTCCACGGAGGGGGTAGTGTCAGTTATGTAAATCCCTGTACAGGCATTTGCGTGGGGTTGGGGCATGGTGACACGGGGACAGATACGACGGGCGGGGGTATTATCTGTATTAAATTTATTAAATGTATAAAGTCAAATGTATTGGATAGGATGATAAGCTTGGTGTTTAAACCTGCAACGTCAACTTACACGTAAAGACAGATGGAATAATATCAAGTTAGGGTCGGGCACATACATCTGCGTGTTCGTTTTTTTCCGTAAGCTTTGTTTCGCATACAGTTTCCGGGTTGGAAAGATACGGTATGTTTATTGCAATGTCTTTGAACTCGCCTGGGTTAAAGTGTTGCAAAAGGAAATGAGTTATAATATCAAACTGTTGCAGTGTTGTGTTTTTCGGAATTTTGGTTTTGCTCTGGTTGGAGCCCATTTGTTGGTTAGTGTAACACGGGGTCAGCAATTTGGCTGGCTAAAGTGACGGCTGGGTATCATTGGAAACGTGGGTGGGGACGGTTGGAGGGAGGGAATAGACGCTGTATGGTGGGAGGCATTGGATCATTTAAGTGGTTGAATTATGGAGAAAACCTGTCTGTGTTGTGAATGCCCCGAGGCACACGTTTTGCTCGAGGTGCAATATCACTCGATGAGCATTCTCGGTGGGACGAGCTGGAATGAAATCTTTAAACATCACTGCACGTGCTTCACGTGTGTTCCGTGTTCTACAGAACAGGGATTAATGTGGGAAAATCAATGAAAACATATCGAGAAATTGGCGATGGAAGCGTATCTCGTGCATTTCCGTGGCACTCACCTGTGAACATATATTCCTGAGATCTTTGAAGGTGAACAAGAATTCAAGACAACTCATTCAAAGATTATTGAATCAGACAAATATCTTTATTTTTCAACTTCACTTTTGGATGTGATATTCGATGAGCCTCGTTCGGTCCAGTCCCCGACATGACCACGGTGGACATTGGTCAAGGCATGGAATGAGTTATAGCCCGAACGCGTGGCCGACTAGTAGACGCGTGAAATGGCGCACCGTACCTTCCTCTCGGGTGATAAATTAAACCCATTAACGTGTGTGGGGCTGTCCAGATGCGGGTACCAGGCGCCAGTCGATGTGGTCATATGAGGGTAGTACATACTGAAGATGAAACACAAACTAAAACAAAAATATCAAGTTATGTTACATCGTCATCGTTGGACGAGATATTCCTCCAACCAAGACGTTGTCTGTGTGATGATAGCCACGCGGTCACGTTCATGATTATTTCAGTGCTCATGGAGTACGTTTTCCATTACAAGAACTGACACTCGGCTGTAACTTCACCCTTTAAACAAAGAGACGTCATACTAACCTAAACATGTCATATCGCAAACCTCCCCACACCGCTACACTACACAACACGCATTAGGTTCAAAGAGAGCGAAAATTTGGCACCAAGCTCGCCACAAATCTGTCGAAAAAAACACGGCGATAAAACAAATGTGTTAGCTTACACAAAACGATTATGTTTTTTCGTAATCGGCGCTGTAGTAGACATTCCCATCGTCAGCTGATCTGGTGCCTGTTCGAGATTGACATGATAATGATATAGACAACTATTGTCAATTGCAGCTCTGTCCCTCTCCATGCGTCTCGCTATCACCCTGGCGTGACATTCGGATACACTCATGTTATTTTCAACGCGCTGTGTAGTTAAACGTTACTTGATAAAATTGTTAACTGTGTCCTTATTTAAAGCTGTTTTAATAAGATCGTCTAAACACATCAGTTCTTTCTGGGTAAAAAGCATTAAGTAACATTTCCGTAGCCCAGTAACAAGTGTTTCAATTGTAATCAATGTGTTTCTCATTGCACTCGCTGTGAAACGGGATAGTCACGACCAGAAACTCGGTATTATAGGCATTGGTATCGAAGAACACATACTAACAGAAGAATAAGATCAAACCAGGCCTCTGGTTTAACAAGGTTTTGATTTCCGAATACCATCATGGAATATACGCCTGAGTGCTGCCATATTTTAATCAAAGCAGTTCCCATTAGAAGACAGGAGGCTTAACGTTTCTCTGGCATCGAACGCTCCAATAAAATGATCCAAACCCTTTCCAGATCCATGAGATGTCTTTGTTAAAAGCAGAGTCGATGGTACAATGTTTATGAATCACTATAAAATAGTGATGATACATTTGTTCGCGAAAATGTTGCATTTCGAGCACTTTAAGATAGCTACCGACACCGGTGGATAGTACAGTCTAACCACTATCACTCAGCTGACTAGAGTTCATATATGTACGTTTCTGTCACAGCTCGCTACAACTTTAATGAAGCCTGTGTACATCATTAATGTACGTATGGTATCCGGCTTGACGTGAACTGTATGTGGTCGGTTTGGCCAGACATTAGACTGTTGTGATGTTATCTGCGTTCCCAGGGGCGTGATTGCACGTGGAGCTAATCAGATAGTGTCTCCTGACCACTACAATTGCATAATGGATGCCCTGTGGTTGAGCCACCCCTGCTGAGCTAATTGAACTACTGGAGATTGTGCGTAGACAAGGTGGCTGTTAGCCCGGTCGAATGTCGGGGTCGGGTTCGATTCCCGCTCTCGGCATTTTCAGAATGTCTACGTGCAGTTTCGATATACAGATATCGGTTGTATAAGGCGCATTCACTTCCATTTCTGTACACATTTTGAGGTTGTATGTGTGCAGATTTGTACAGATTTCGAGGTTGTTCAATATACATTCGGAGGTTTGGTTGTTCAGTACAGATTTCAAGTCTGTACATGTCCAGTTGATTACATCTCGTGGCTGCATGTTTTCAGTTTTGTGCACATTTCCGGTGTACAGGTACAGTTTTGTACTCATTTCGAGTCTTTATATGTTCAGGTCTGCACGTGTCGAGTTCTGTACATATATTGAGTCTGGACATGTCGAGTTCTGTACATATATTGAGTCTGGACATGTCGAGTTCTGTACATATATTGAGTCTGGACATGTCGAGTTCTGTACATATATTGAGTCTGGACATGTCGAGTTCTGTACATATATTGAGTCTGGACATGTCGAGTTCTGTACATATATTGATTCTGCAAATGTCGAGGTCTGTACACATTTCGAGTTCTGTTCATATGTCGAGTTCTGTACATATGTCGAGTCAGCACATGTCGAGTTGTGTACATATGTCCAGGTTGTACAAGTAGCTGCTACACACACCTGACTGCGGATGTCTTCATTCCGCTACGAGTACTTGTGTTTTTGAAATGTGTGTCCATACAATACTGACAGTGTTATCAAGCGCTTTGTCTGAATGTACTACACAAAGTGGGTTTTAAGTGTTTGCACTATATGACGAAAATGACAATACATCGCACAGACGAACTGATCTCATCACAAGTTAATGCAACAAATACGTAGTCTTTGTAGTGGTAGCAGTAGTAGTAGTAGAAGTAGTAGTAGTAACAGTAGTAACAGTAGTAGTAGTAGGAGGAGTAGTAGTAGGAAGTGGTGGTGGTATAGTTTGGGAGGAGGAGTAGGAGTATAACACTTATGGGATCACACTTTCTTAGTAAAGTACAGATTCTAGTACTTTTGGGGGTTGAGTCCCACCCGGGATTCGAACCCACACCCTCAGAGTCAGGCACCTAATCGCCAGCACACAAAAGTCAGACGCCTACACCACTCAGCCACCGCGGCTTTCCACAAAAATGGAAGTCATGGAAATGAAAGTAGTGTAATCCCAAATATAACATATGTTACATTTGACCACTTTCTAAAATGGCATTGTGTATTTCGTAGTAGTAGTGGTGGTGGTCTGTCTCACAGTCCCTGAACCACATTATTTTCCTAGTCTTCCCTGCAATGCTAAAGCCTAAATGGAGCAAGTCTAGATTTCCCCTGGTTCTGAATCTCCCATCTCACTGGGGCTCCTTTCCAGTTTAAATGGGCTTTTTTGTTACTATCAGAATTATATATATTCAGAGATTAAGCGTTAGTCTATAGTAGCAGCAGTTGGAGAACAGCAGTATAATGTACAAGCAAGGTCAACGTATTCGTTCACACGATCCACGCAACATACGTGCGTCACCAGTCGTATCTTCCTTCGCCCAGTTTCCCCAACCATTTATGGGGTTAAATCCATGACCCTACAGCTCGTATGACACGGGCTGTACCGTGATTGTCCATCTGGAAACCGGCATTGGGGAAAGAACAGCCAGGCTTGAGGCCATTCCACTTGGAGGGTATGTGACAGC